AAAATGCAACGCATTTCTTTATATACCTGGCTGCACCATACATAGTACCCTTAAAATACGAGTTAGGCAATGCGTAGAACCAGTAGGCTCCAGTTACCCTCAAAGAGGCAACTGTACGAATTTTCCAAGCGAGAAGTGAATTCTAATGATTCTTTTTTGAGCAAATCGCTCTGCAGCTATTCGAAAAACTTCAAAAATGTGCCTTGGTCTAGTTCTTGCTAGAAGGTCTCAAACTATCTGAATAGTCATATTTATGCTGCATGTTAAGTCTTTCTTGGAAAGTTAAGGGCAGTTTGGAAGCTTCTAGGGGAGGGGCGAAAATATATGTAATCTTGGAGAATGGGTGCCGTTGGCCACGGCTCGAATATTTTCTTGCGATATTTTCCAGAGCTTTTGTGAACTTACTGCCCTGAATTTCAAAAAAATAAAAAAAATTTCAAATTTCGACTAGTGTGAAACCAGTCACTGACTTTCTCAGCGTTTAAATGAGGCAGCATTGAGTAAATATGTTTAAATTAAACATATTTATTGCAGAGGTATCCCACAATCGTTCAAGGATTGAGAAAATGTTACGACTGATTTTATACTAATAGTATATTCAAATTTTTGCTAATAAAAATCTTCATTTTTCACACAGAAACCCGCAGCAGATAAGGAAGGCGACTGATTTGAAATCAACTACTCATCTCATATTGAAAGGTCACCTTGGCTAACCTCCCTTCCCTTATAAATTTCGTCAGCTTCGAGCAGGTGACAGGCGAGTAATTTGGAGTTTGTATACAAACAACGTTTGCCTACATTTCGAACCTAAAAGGAGATTGTCATTTGCTGTCTATGAACTTCTTCAGCCAATAATGTGTGGATCTTCAAATATGCATGGATTTTTTTGAGTTTCTGGGCAGCAGAAGTTCTAAGCTGCCACCACATTTTATACTCGACTCCAGCTCGTTTTTGTAGCATGGCTTTTGTAATTTGACGAAAAAATCTGACTATATCTCTTTCCTGTATCATTTTGTCATTGAAAAAAGACTTTCCGTACAAACAAAGTTGACCATCCAGTTCTCTTGAACTTGCTCTTTCCAATGGTACCATACATTCGTACATCAGTCGATACCTAACAATTCTACAGATTATTAATCAAAGTGAATGGGTGTGTAAACTATTGTGATTCAAAAATTCGTTGCGATATGAAAATTTTATTGAATTTGAGGAATGTTTTTACGTCGGCAATGTTGAAATTGGTGTTCTACCAACGTCCAGGTCTTGGAGGTGGAGGTCCCATTGGCCCGAATGGTCCTGGTCCTCCTGGTCCTCCTGGGCCTCCTGGTCCGAATGGTCCTGGTCCGTACGGTCCTGGTCCTCCTGGGAATGCTGGTCCAACTGGTGGTGGTGGTGGTGGTGGTGGTGGTGGTCCACCTGGTCCAACTGGTGGTGGTGGTCCACCTGGTCCTTTCATGATTTGATGGAAAGCGAATCTCAGAACGTTGAATACCTAAAAGCAGACAAATGGCATTAACTTTTTTATGTTGCTTTCAATTACCTCAGGTTCTTCCTTGACGAGATCTTTCAAAGCCTGAACAAGCTGTTCAGGGGTCTGGTCTTCCTTTTTGAAGAGTTCAGAAACTTTCTTATGCGCATCTGCCAATTTGCCGATAAGCTCGGCAACTTTCTTTTCTGCTTCTTCCTTCTTCTTAGTCATCTCAGCATTGAATTCGTCGACTTTGTCCTTTAAATTCTCTTGCAGAGCATTCATGAGTATCCGACTCTAGAACTCACCTTTACTTTATACTTTTCAGCCCACTGATCGACTTTTGCCTTCTTCTCAGCAAACGTCAACTTGTTGTTCATCATAATATCTTGAAACTCTCTTCGCCCCCATTGATTCACATATTTGAGGAAAGGAGGTTCGGGAGGTCCTTGGGGAGCGGGACCTCCTGGTCCTCCTGGGAAGGGACCACGGGGCCCGGGTTGAGCGCACACCACTGCTGTCGTCACAGCAAGTATAGCTATGATGTTATTCATCTGCAAAAGTGCTGGTGATTAATGAAAGACTTTGAATGTAGGATAAATGCAAAAGCTGATGCTGATCTGCTTTCCGACATCTATATATTCTGAATATTGATGTCGATCTTTACATGGACCGCCCATCGTGATTCATCCAAGCTATGTAAATACCTTCAAAATCTCGGACTGGCCTTATGATCAATTATCTGCAATTTAATGGTCTGAAAAAAATCGGAGGCTCGGTCTTTTGAAGAGTATCAAGCCATTTAGGATAACTGTCCACAATTTGGAATAGAATGATATTGCAAAGAATTTAAGTAGGTGTAGGCTATAGTTTTTTAGTAGTTGCTTTTCATAGACTTTCTGCACAGGTACAGAAAGTTTTTGATTGTAATATACCGCCTTGTAGCTATAGCGCAAAAAATATGAAAAGTGGAAGGTATTTACCTAAGAGTTCAGAGTGCTTTGAAATTTGCAGTTAGTTTTCCTTCTTCTAAAATATACTTGATTATTAAGCAGTATTTTTGCAAAGGCTCTTTATTACAAAAAAGCTTGCTCTTTTACTTTCAATATAAACCCTCTGAATTCAGCCATTATTTGCAAGCATAATTATTCGGTCAATGCATCAGAAGCTCACCCTCGGCTTCTGTACAAATATTCAGCTATCATTTTTTTTGTTCACAGCGCCATCGGAGTCATGTGATTTTAGACAGTCATCAGCTTTTCAATCTCTGTTATTTGTTCATAACGGTGGTGTGATAGAATCACAGCTGCTGAATTTTGAGACTGATGTACTGCACTTTGGGCCAGACGTGGCAATCTATGCAGCTTCTGAAAGCTAACATCAAAAACTCAACAGCTCTTGAATCAGCAAATTATTTCGAGGCTCTCAAAAAGCAAGAAACATACTGCATCCGAGTCAAATGCAACTACGATATGTTGACTGAATAAATGATTTTCGTTCAAAATTCAGAACTGCACGGAAA